TTCAGAGAAAATAGGCACTTCCTACATCTTAAAATCAGTTCAGAAACTAAAACTGAATAATCGCCCTTAGGCATATAAGTTCATCAACAATACCACCACAATATGTGCCACTTCTAACCTATGTAAATCCACTTTACTTTGCTAAGCATAAGATGAAAAGCTTAACAACCCCTTATCTTTGCATCCACTGCTCACATGGTACGTACTAAGGAAAAGACACTGATAAATAACTCCACATATCTAAAGATAGGAAAGATACATCTGATACAAATCTGTCCCCAAAAAGAAACCAGAATACAACAAGACATGCACTTCCAAGGAAATAGAGCCAGGAAACATTACCTTCTCTAGTTTATACCAATTGATGACTAGAAAAAACTAATTGGCTTGCTAATGTCTATAAACTTCAGAGTATTTTATGATAAGGTAAATGATTTTAAATTCCATAGCTTACATCCTTGTATTACACCATTGCATGATGTAACTCCATTTTTTATTTTACCAAAAACACATATTTGCTATCGTTGTAAAAGATCCTAGAGACTCCATATTTACTATTCTCCAAAAGCATCCTCCACTAATCCGCCTTGTTTCATTTCAATAGTGAAAATGGAGTACCAAATATTTATTTTATTTACAAATTATAAATTCTTTTATGACCTAAGAATAATGCTGAGCGTTAAACACTAGAGGAGAAAATAATGATTCAATAGTAATCAAGCTTTGCAAGAAGAACAATCCAATGCTTAACCATAGTGCTAAGGTAGAGCACACTAACTTTGAATTACAAAGAACAGGGCAACATGCAGACACACAGACAGTTAATTATATGCCAATACGTATATTCTTTTTCCAGAATAAAAGCAGGAGCAACAAAATGAAAAGAGTCGCTTTAGGCATCTTCAGTACCTCATATGAGCTATAGAAATGCTTATTTGTGCAGTTCTCCAATATTATCCTTATAACACGAAGGACCTGGAGGACAGCTTCCCTTGGAAATTGAGGATCAGATTCCAAAAAGTGGTCATCAAATTGCAAATCCTTCCTAGACTTGATGTATTTCTCAAAAAAAGTATCAAAGTGATTAAACAGGTCAACCCAATGATAAAAATCACCCTGCATACACAAGAATAAGAACAGGGAAAATAAATTAAGAAAGGAGAAGACGTGCAAAAGGGGGAATAGTATAATATCGTCAACATAAAATCTGTATAGGTACCTTATCGAACTCCCAAACAAAACTTTTCAGGGGTTCTTCTATATTCTCTAATGGAGTAGCAGTGATGCTACTGATAAATGATCGGATCTTTGGAGGCTGAAAAAGGAAGGGCAAAAACAAATTTGATCAGTGCACATTTAAATTTCTTTTAAGCAGTATATGTTAAACATAACTGCCCGCACATTTCAAAACAGCATCACAAAATCAACAATGAAATATAGTGCTTCAAGAGAACATCTTTCCCTAAATTACTCAACTAAACTTCTGAACTTTGATAAATGAATCTAGGCTGAAGTACATTAATGAGCAAACATCATTAAAATGATATCTTGGAAACTACAAATAAAAGAAGATTTTGGGATGTTAAGTCCAAAATTCCACAGATCAGCCCGACAGCCCTGACTATGCAATTTCTATGATTAGTATATTCTTGGTGTCATTTTTGAAGTTCAAAATGCAGATATCTAAAATCATATAAGCAATCGCACCAAATCAGAACTTGAGACTTGCTGTGATTTCAAAAGAAAAAAGGGAATGTTGTTCAAATTACTAAATGTGCATATAAAACATTATTAACCGCCATGCGAGTATCAGGAATGAATGCCTAACAAAAAACATTTTAGATATTCTTGGTTTACTAGAAGATACACTAACAAAAACCAGACTAGCTTTTATTCACTGGAGTACTAGTCTACACCAACACAAATCAGATTGATCTCAATGGGGCGAAACTTTTCTCTTTGCCAGTGAAAGAAACAGTTGCATAAAAGTCAACCTTCTGCCAATTTCACCACAGGTACTTCACACCAGTCACCATGGTGCCAGTAGCAAAAGAAGACCCCTTGGGCTCCAACCAGTTGAAAAGTGCAGTTTCAACTCCAGAAAACCATAAACTTGTAACATATCAATCAATCAACTACTCCACGATACCGAAACATTCCAGCTATATGGTATAGCTATAACATATCAATCAATCAACTATTCCATAAACCTTCACATAACATATAATCCAAAAATCCTAACCACACTCATCTAGTTATATTAAACAAACTATTAACAAAATTAAGCTCACTATATCTAAAAAAATCTCTCAACTTTACAAAAAAAAAATCAATTTACCTCAAATTAGTATGATCAGACATAAAAACATAAGACACACATACAAACAAACCAGCCTCCTATACTTCACACCCGTCACCATGGTGTCAGTAGCACAAAAAAGACCTCTTGAACTACAACCAGTTGAAAAGTTAATAACATATCAATCAATGATAGCAAAAACATTTAGGGCCAGCTATATGGCATAAGCTACAACATATCAATCAATCAATTCCATAACTCCAAGCACACATGTCTAGTTATATTAAACAAATTACTAACAAAATTCAACTCGCAAACCTAAAAAAACCACGGAACAATCGCGCTTCGAATCAATTCACGTCGAATTAACATATGATCAAAAATCAAAACTTACCACTTCTACAGCCCTCCTTCGCTTTAACTTCATCTTTATATCAACCAACTGATAAAACCATTGCCGAATTCAGAAGAAAAACGGTTGAAACAGGCCGATTCCTGAACGAGAATGGATCCAATAAAATCGACAAAGGTATGAAGGGTTTGGAACGATCAAAATTGATATATGTAAGTTTTCGATTGAATAACACAAATTGGGGCAATGAGGTTTTATGAAGATCGAAGCGATTTCTAGGGTTTTCGAGAAAGGGTTTTTGGTTAAACGATTGGTAACTGAGGATCGCGGAGAGATAGAGGAGAAAATTGAAGAAAGATAGAAAGCTGTGGAGTGTTGCCACTTGCTTTCCTATATATATAGGAATTCCAAAGAATTTTGAGGAAAAAAAAAATATATATAGGGAAATTTTTATTTTCTGTTTTGTATTTGTGAATGTGGATAGAAATTGAGAAATATTAAACTATAGGGTATAAGGATTTGTTGATAAATTGTTTTTTTACTTTATATAGATGAAATTTACGTATATTCTATATCAGAAATGTCGCTAGTCTATAAGAATATAAAATATTATTTTATTATTTTGGTTTTTGTATATTACTCCTATATAGTTTTCGCTTTGAATTCGTCAAGATAATTTACTGTTTAAGGATCAAATACGAAATATATAATTAAAGACAAAATACTTATTGTTCTACTGAAATTTGAGATGATTATGTTATTTTCACATACTAATAATTTAGTATAAATATCACAAAATCTATTATATATATGGTTTTAATTTTTTGAATTGTAATTTGATGTAGCATGCTAAAATATAATTAAGATATTACGTTGGTTGAGATTATTGGTCAGATTCATTTGCTCAATTTAAAATATGTATACATAAAGTGAATTAAGATTAAAATATATTTTTTTATATAGATTTTATTTTATTATTTTGAATGAATCAATCAATTTTCAATAATATCCATTAGCATATAATATATATTGTGGTAATCGGTGAGTATAACCAAATATTGAATAGTGTTTTCTAAAGTTGAACATGTCCTATGTGATACATTGTTAATATATGATATATACTATGTGATATTATAAAAAATTGAGTTTTTTTTTAAAAAAATAAAAAATATAAGTATCATTAAGAACTATAAAAAAAATATTCTTGATATGAGGAGTCGATCTTGTGATTCTCTTTTGGCAAATAGTATAGATTATGGGGACATTATAAAGGATTGAAAAGTATTTTTTGTGAAGGGATACATTTGTTTTTTATGATGTTCTTTTAATATATTGTATATATCACATGGGTATTATAGATCAATGGATTCTCTTTATAGAAAATGAACCAATCCTTTATGACATCTTTTTAGTATATGATATATCTTGTGATTAATCATCAATGATATTGTATGATATGTATTATATGGATATCATTAAGGACTAAAGAGTAATTTTTTCTGAAAGGGTTGAATCAATCTTCCATAACATTCTATCAGTATATGATATATAACACATGGATGTATCATAAAAGATTGAAGGGTGTTTTGATGAAAGAATAAACCAATCTTCTATGATACTTTGTCAGTATATATATATATATATATAATTATCACAAAGAATGGAGGGTCTTTCTTACAGAAATGAATTGTGCATTCATGTTAGAATAATTATTAATATACCCTAATCAAGAATAATTTGATTAAACAAATCTTATCTATTCATTAATTTTAATTTAATATTATTTTTTCTTTAATTACATTAAGTTCTCTTAACGTTATTTTTCATTCACCATATTAATTTTATTTTGATTCTTAAGATGATAAATATTTTGATTTTTAAAATTTTATACATAATCATTTAGTTAATTGGAGAGAGTCCTATATACTTAAAACTGAAAAATTATTTAGTAGTACATGCTTAAGCTTTTATGTTCGGTTTGAGGTAGGTTAACACAATATTTGAGGTTGATTGTTGATTTTTCAAGAGTTATTATGAGGGTGTCCGATAGAAAGATGACTTATCCTTGAAGAGAGGTTCCATGAGCCTCGTTACAAAATAACCTCGATTGAACTGATCCTAAATTACTTTAAGCTACACTGGGATAGTCCATACTCAGAGGCCCTCGAAGCTAAATCTTCGATAAAGAAATATTTACTACTCGACCATAATCTTTATTGGTATTCATTGTTGATAGTTATTCAAAGGCATAAATATGCTTAAAATATAATCATAAGGATTTTAAAAAATAAAAAAGATGAATAAAAAATATATTTAGATTTTTTTGCATTTACAATTTTCTCCAAAAGAAAAAAATTAGGGACCTTCATCCCTAAGCTACGAACGCGAAGGACTAAGCAGAGAATGAAGAAGCTGTGTATGTGGAAATCTTTATCAACTACGCGCCAATTATCCCACGCTCCGACCACCGTTTTGACTACGCGCCGCCGCACACTCTCTTCATCTTCTTCCTTCGATATTAAGAATGTTACCAAATCAAACTTTGAATCAGCTCTCAAGGACCTACGAGGTCTTCTACGGGACGCCGATTTCGTAGCTGTAGACTTGGAAATGACCGGAGTCACCAGTGCACCTTGGAGAGAATCATTCGATTACGACCGGTATGATATTAGCTACCTCAAAGTTAAGGATTCCGCCGAAAAGTTCGCCGTCGTTCAGTTCGGTGTTTGTCCCTTCCGGTGGGATTCTCACAAGCAATCCTTTATCGCTCATCCGTAAGTTTTCGCTCATCCTTCTCGTGTTTGTTCAGTGAAGGATACAGAGAATCCCATTCAACTAATTTAGAACTGATCTTCTAATGTTTCTCTGAAGGATATCAAGGATAAGTATAGTTTACTGCAACTAATTTGGATTTGATGCTTAGTTTATTGATTGATTGATGTCTTTTGTCCAAGTTAATTCTTTATAAACAAAGAAACTGATTTGTTTTAACATAAAGTGAAGTATCATTTTTTGTCGAAAACCGCTCATTTGCAAGGAGAAGTTTATCTTAGAGCCTCGATGAGGACACTGAAGCACACATTAACCGAGGCAAAACACTCAACATGTTTTGAGCCTTGCTTCAGGGCATATGGCACCTTCGACAATACTGTGAGAACCGTCTGCATTATTTATGGTTGAGCCTGTTTGTCCAAGTAGGGAGATCAAGTGAGCATTTCAGTGTTGAGAGAAGGAAAAGTTTGTTTCTTTTGCTTTTGATGAAATACAAATCATCACCTGTTTAGCAGCAACCTATAAGTTTGACTTCGAGATGTTGCATATTGCATTTTCTGTATCAATGCTTTTTTAAAATGGTAACATATCTGCGATGTCAATATCAAGTCCTCTCTATTTGGGCGTTCTGCCCAATACGGGCAGAATAAATGTGTTTTTTCAAGGGGAACAAGCAGCATAGATTGTCTTTATCGGTTAATGTTACATTTTGACTTTTCAAATCTGATACTCTGGTTTCTCTTGGCAGACACAACTTCTACATATTCCCACGGCAAGAAATTCCTGGTAGCAACCAATCCCGTGAGTTCCTTTGCCAGACAACATCACTTGATTTCTTGGCAAAATACCAGTTTGATTTCAATTTGTGCGTACGTGAAGGTAAGTCCTTAACACCTTCGTTTGCTCTCTTGGACAACTTAATGAGATCACAGTATGTTGTGATTTGGCAATTTTATATTAGTTGCTAGTTTCAACCTATATGAGTCCACATCTGCTTGTCTGAGTCATATGAGGTTGGTCCGAACTCTGACTGAACTTGTCTACAAGCCTATGACTCAAGTTGTGATGGTGATCCTGAGATTTGGTATACCAAATCAGATCAAGTCTCTTGCTATCTTTTGGGTTTTAACTTTCTCATCTTACCAAGATCTCCAGTGACTATAATTAAAAAGAAAGGTTTAACTATCAAATCATGAATACCAGCAAACCCATATCAACTTTTAAATGGTACCATGGACTTGTATGTTTACCCAGAAGAACAAATATGGAATTCATTTATTCATATAAAATTCCTTTGGAAGTACATTCTTTTATTAGTTAGTGACCACCAATATCATCAGATTTTTTTTTGATGAAGTAAGTAGATTCATTTCAAGGCATCAAGAAGATGCAAGCTTTACAAGGATAGATCAGTTAAGCACACAAAAAAAAGGATTTGTAGCCTCTTTCTAAGCTATAGAGCTAACAAAATCCAAGAAGAGTTCTAAATTATTTACAGGGGTCAGTTTGGACCAACTAAAAAGGCTAACTAGACATCTGCCTCGCAAAAGATTTCTAGAAGTTGAAATTCCATCAAAACATCTTTTGTTCCTCTCTATCCATAAACACCAAAAGATAACACCAATATCATCAGATTTATCTCCAAGTAGCGCTCTGATACTGTCAAATTTGGTTGGTGAGGTGTTATACTTTGTTGATTTTGAAGCATTTAGGATTTTAAATTTCCAGACTAGGTCACTATTTGGTTTTATATAAGAGTTATGTACACATTGAGTTTCAGTTTTGCTAGCTCAATTATATCTTCATTTGTTTCATTTTTGAGATTTTACACTTCTATGTAATCTCAGGAATCTCTTATTTATCCAGAAGCCAAGAAAAGGAGGCACTGGAACGTATAAGTTCAATATACATGGATGAATCATCAGATTCCGTGTTTGGCTTGAGTGAAGATGCAGACTTCCCACTGGTTAGGATGGCAGATGTTCTATTTGCTGAGAGAATGAAGAACACAATAAGGGAATGGCGTGATAGTTTGTTAAGTAAGGGAAGCAGTAGCTCTGAAATTAAACAAATATCAACTGATCCAAGTCAGAGATTTCAAATGGTTTTCTTCAAGACCCGTCCAGGCCTTGCCCTTAGTGATTTTACTTCTCGCCAACTAAGGGTGATTAAAGCGGTAACGAGCTCCTCTTCCATTTCATTCTTTTCTTTTTGTACTATAATCAATTTATGATGTGAGACTGTCAGAGCGTCTTCTTTTATCCAATGTTAGCAACCGTTCACTTTTTGTCTAAAGGTCTGTATAAGATGATGCATTCTTTTTATTTAAGCAGGAGGTAATCACTTACCTGACAATAGTATAAGTTAAACCTTTTCTTTGTTCTTCGGCAATTCCTCAGAAATGAGAGAGGTGCTAAAGTATATAGTAGTTGATATGATATTGTTTTGTGATGATGATTGACTTGGTGACCTTGAAAATGCAGGTCACTAAAAAGCATTTCAAAGATCTTGCCTATATCCGAGTAGCAGGTGAAGCAACATCTCCACAGCAATTGATTGTCTATACAGATTCCAATGATGACAGAAATCTACTGATGGTAAGGCATAAAAAGGCTTTGATCATACAGAAATTCTTGTTGAAACATGATAAGGATGCAATGAATACATTTGTGACTGTTGCTGTGCTATTCCAATTTTTTTTTAGAATCTATGAGTACTAGTAATAAGCTTCTTTGTTTATTAACTGCTGTTATTCGTATCATTTTTCCCAATATGAGATCTATTCTCTTCATTTTTTCCAATATAAGTGACTCCTCATCTTCTCAGTACCTTGATTACATCTCATCAAAGCTATTCATGTCTTAATATCAAGTAGAAAGAGGTGAAGGACGGCCTTCGTAAAGATGCGGAAATGAAGGTCGAATCTGCTGTTGGATTTCGACATGTTATTGATCTTCTTTCATCAAAGCGAAAGTTGATTGTCGGTCACAATTGCTTTCTTGGTAAATATTTCCTTTTTTATTTATGGAAAGGCTACATTATATATTTCAAATTTTGCTCAACACTTTATACAATGAGTGCAGATGTGGCGCATATGTACAGTAAATTCATTGGTCCACTACCTTCAACCGCTGAGGATTATGTATCTTCCCTTCAGAAGCTCTTTCCTACCATAGTGGACACCAAGATACTCTTGAATGCAAACGGTGTTTTTCGACAGACTTTAAATAAAAGCAACACCTCACTATCCAGAGCATTTGTCTCTATCTGTCCTCATATTGCTTTAGGTATCAAAACATCTAGTTTGGCTGATAGACCATGTGTAGAAGTGGAGGTTCAAGTAGATGAAAAAAGGTTACCACCAATCCTACTCTACTCTTGAGACTGAATCTACGTGATGCAATTTGTTATTTCAGTACGTGCTTACCATTTCCATTTGCCTGACTGTTTCTAGCGTGACAATTGATTTTGATTTACATCTTTTACGCATATCTTTCTTTTTCTCCTGTTAGAATTCTGCATGCATTTGACACTGTGATGTTATGTGTGTCTCAACTGTGTTTGCTTTGCATCTTTGGTCTATCTGATTAGGATTGTGAAGAAAAAATTTTCGCCTCTTTCAGCACTCCTATAGCATTAACCTATTGCGCTGTATCTCGATTTATAATCAAAATGAACAATGTGAATAATCCTTGTCACTAATTTTTAAAGTTGATTTGCAGATCCTCGTACTGGAATTTATAAATCAAAATGAACAATGTGAATAATCCTTGTCACTAATTTTTTAAGTTGATTTGCAGATCCTCGAACTGGAACTCAGGAGCCAAGCATGAAGCTGGATATGATGCATTCATGACTGGATGCATTTTTGCACAGGCGTGCAATCATCTAGGCATTGATTTCACCCTCCATGTGCTTGGTGGAGATTTAGTGAAGGAGACAAAGCTTCAGAATTATATCAATCGCCTTTACCTTAGCTGGGTTAGTGGTAACGTCATTGATCTAAGTAGTGGGAAATGTACACCAGACTCCTCAGCTTCTAGTAACCTCAAAAGTCGGTACCAGAATTTCTCATTTCCTAGCATCATTCTGTTGTGGGGATTGCCATCTAAACTAAAAGCAAAGGAGATAAGAGCTTGTATAGCACAAGCCTTTGGCCCAAATTCTGTTTCCTCAGTCTACCATTTGGATGAAAGCGCTGTCTTTATTCTGTTTAGCAAGCCAGAACTGGTTTCTAAGTTTCTAGAATTGAAGGAAACTCTAAGTAGGAACAGTGATCCAATTTCCGTGTTGCATCCTCTTTCAAATATTCTGAACGGAGAAAACACTCATGCAGCTACCTACGATGTATATCAACAAATATGCAGTTCATCCATCTCAAAGAAATTATTCGCAGATCAAGCTGAAGCTGTTGGTATAAAGCACAAAACAGTGTCGTCCAGGGCTGAACGAGGAAAAAAGGGGAACCAGGTATTTGATAAAGAAACAGAACCTAGGATGTTCGATGAGAAAGCAGATGATCTGATGAGTTCACCATATGGCTGCTCTGAAACAGATCGATCAGCGGAATCTTTTTATCTAGATGAAGTTCTGGCAAGCAAATAGGAGTAGTTATTCCTAGTTTATGTATCATGTATATCTATTAGATCATTTTTGGGCAGGTATAGAGATTTGTTTCTCTGATATCTACAGACTACAGCATGTATAGTGAGATTGTGTAACTTAGATTATCAAAGAACAAAAGATCAATTAATCATTCTAATGCTTCTTCATGAGCAGACATCAGTCTATTTGTCTCTTCATTTAAGTGTGTGTTTCTTTCTATTTTGTTACCTTTTTGTTCTTCTTCTCCTTATAATAAGTTTTACACAATGCTAAATGCTTTTTTTTTTTTTCAATTTATATATAGCAGATTTAAACCTCTTTATTTTTTTTCGTATATATTTTAAATTCCTTAATGAAAAATTCTGATCCTGTCATTGCGGGTACAAAGGTCTTATCATATATATAACTCTCCATAAAACACAATTCTTTCTCACGTGAAATTGTGTTTCTTAGCCACATCAATAATCAGAGCAAATAGAGAAAGGGAAAGCTCTAAAGATGGAAAAGCTCTTTTCAAATCAATTATGACCTTCAACTCTTTCCTTATACTTCATCAAAAAGGGAGAAGCAGATTTTTCCAGATCTTAAAGGTTGTTGTGAAGTATTGTTTTAATTTTTAATTTTTTTTTGTTCTTGTTTGACAATTGAACGAGATTCACAAGTTTGAGTTATGGCAACAAATATTGCATAGAGATAAATCAAATGGATGTTGATGGGGTGAGTTTTATTATGCACACGTTATTATTTCTTGTTTTAAGTTAATTTTCTTTCGTTATTTGTTTATAGCAAATAATTTGGTTTAATTGTTCTATCTAGGCCATGAAAATCCACTTCTTAGAAGAAATAATTGTGGAAATCCTCATCAGATTATCTGTCCAGTCTCTTCTTCGATTTAAATGTGCATCAAAATCTTGGAATACATTGATCACCTCAAATTACTTTAAAGCAAAGCATTTCAATCATGCTAAGAAGAATAAAAAAATTCTTATTGCGCGACTACATTATGGTACGATTTCATGTTATTGTTCTTCTTTATCATCGGCTCAACCATTACAAAAGTTTAGTGGTTTCCCTTTAAATTATTATCCAAAGAGGCGCTACGAAATAATATGTTGTTGTGATGGTTTGTCTCTTGTTTTGTATCGTGATGGCTATTTACTGTGGAACCCTTCCACAAATGAATCAATACTACTTCCTAATCCTGAATTTCGACACACATACGAAGAGGCATTCTTTTGCACTTACGGATTTGGCTATGACTCGATTAGTGATGACTATAAGATTCTTAAGATTGACAACGATGGTGGTAATGATTTTAGACCATGCAGTAATATCCTCGCGCTAAAGAGTGATTCTTGGAGAAAAATTGACAAACATCCTTGTGCCTTTCACAATGGTCTACGCCCTGATGACTCTTTAGCATTTGTTCGTGGTGCGTTTCATTGGATGGATGATTTATCCAACTATTTTGTGATTTCATTTAATATATCAAATGAGGTGTACATAGAGATATCATTGCCACATGAAATTTGCAATATTCCCAATATGAGGCTTATAAAATGTGTTGTTTCAGTAATACATGAAATGCTTTGTGCTTATTGTACTTGCCAACATATAGAGGGGAGCACTTTTAAGTTATGAGTAATGAAAAATTACGGTATTAAGGAATCTTGGACTCAATTATTTACTATACAAGAAAGAGCGGCCTGTCTATATTATATCATATCGAAATATATGTTTGCAGATGGTGAGGTGCTGCTCATTACAGTAAGGGTTTTTCTTTTGGATTTAGGACATTCAAAGGACCATTTAAATTGCTTTCTATATATCATGGTGATCATCAAAGAGGATTCGTTTATACAGAAAGTTTGATTTCTCTAAAATTACTTATATAGTATTACCTTAGCTTATGTATTATCAAGTCAATTTTTTTTTTCTTCTACTTTTTAATAAGGTAATAAGACAGATGTTGCATTTGGTTTATATACTCTTTTGATTTTTCTTTATTTTATATTTTATATAAATTTCTTACAATAGTAAGTTTATTGGACTAATGTCTTTTTGTTCAAAGTAGTATATTATGACTTTATTGAAAGTATTTATATATGGAGAGAGATTGTAAAAACCTTTTCTATCTATAAATATTATACTAAATGTAATTATTGAAATTTGACCGTCTTTTATTATTGCCACACGTACAAGTTCACTAGTTACTTCTTAAATTTTTCAACATCATTATATAAACTTCTTAAATTTTTGGACCAGGTTTTCTTATCCTAAAACTTTATATTATATTTTTTCATTAAAAATTTTCATTATTTACATTTTTACTTCATAAGGTGTGCGTACATCCAACATTCTCGAAACTTTACTCATAGTGTTAGTGGGTTACCACTACAACAACAAAAAAAATTTAGTGGCAATAAACATGCACATTAACAAAGAGTGCTAAACCTCATTACCGGTATTAGTTAATTGTCATTTGATCGTAATTTTTCATATATTTTTTTAATATTTTTAATTGACAATTGTTATATCTTATAATATATTTTTTTACGTAGTTTTCAAATATATAAATTTAAATTTAAAAAACTTAGAATATTTCATGTCAAAATTCACAATCAAACTAAAATTGTTAACTATCAAAAATTCAAATTATGCCACACGTAGACACGTATTGTAAACAAACATGTAGGGCTCTTATGTTAATTATCATTCCCTATTGAAAAACGTAATGGTCCCTATTGAAAACTTGTTTCAGAAATAATGACTGTGATACAGCCAGTAGAGATTTGTTCAATAATAGCTTAGCTAGCTTCTTTCCATTACATAAATGTGTAAATTTGTTTGTTTACATTAAAATGATAAATATGTTGTATAGTTTTACAATTTAAAACGATAAGGATTTTGCACGAAAAATTGGCGTTTAAGAAAAGGATTTGTACGTAGTTAACAGATGAATGTGTGAGAAGAAAAATTGACAACTTGTGCTAAAGTTCATATTTCAGTGATAAAAAGAGTAAAATTGCATTCTTAAATTGGTAATTCAGGAATGACTACATGTATACCAATTACCAAGTCTTTGTACCTTCTTTCATTTTTATATCCTCTCAGATAATTAAAGAGGGCTAACACAATTTTTTTTTTTTTTCAAAAGTCATCATCAATAGGAAGGTAGTGAGCCTATTGGTTTGGTCATTGGTTGTTGGGGATTTATTTAGACCCTACCACGTGATATATAAGTAACAATTCTTACCGAAGATTAGAGGGAACATGGACCTTACCTTTAACGAGCAAACGAGATTGATCAATCTATCTAAAGAAAAGAAAGTAGTCTATAAATTGGATTTATACATCTTGATGGGAAAAGAATAAAAAAAATTTGAAATAGATCGATAGATTTCAGGAAGAAAATTGTATTAAGGATCAATATTCAATGGTACATTTTCTAATTAATTTGAACATGAGTTTTTATAAATTTGATTAGCGTTTAAAGTACAATATACCATTAATGTAAAAAAGAAACAAAAAGGACTACTAATTATAGTATAGTAAGTTAAGTAGAAGTATATCTGAATGTGAAGTACTATCTTTTTTTAGTCATGTTGCATGTCACTAAAACAATAATTAAGTTGCCGATTTGTGTCTCTGCTAAGTTAGGTAGAAGTATAGTATATATATTATACTAGAGGAGCATGGCCTGTGCTAACATAAACATAATTAGTCTATTATTCTCAATATAGGCAAAGCATTGTTGGAAACTATTCACTTATATAAGTGACCAATTGCACGTATTAAGTAATTCAAATTATGTGTTTGTTCTAATAAAAGATGTGATCTGAAAAATTAAAAAACAAAGTTTATTTCATTCAAGCATCTGCAAACTATACACCATACCAAACCATCAATAAAGAAAGACATGAAATGTTAACACAAATTAAACAACTTCAAAAGAAAGAAAGAAAAGAAGAATAATCAATGAGGTGTATTAATTTTGTGTTTTTTTTAAAAAATTCTCAACGAGAAATAAGATACAGTTTTTAGATGGATCAATAATTGAGTTAGCTTTTTTTCATTGAATATTCATATTTGTTTTGGTGTTTGACCATTTGAATTTATATAGGAAAAATTTCACTTTAAGAATAAGAACTTACCAAAAATTGTGTATTAATTTTGTGTTTTTTTCTTCTACTTTTTAATATAAGGTAATAAGACAGATGTTGCATTTGGTTTATATACTCTTTTGATTTTTCTTTATTTTATATTTTATATAAATTTCTTACAATAGTAAGTTTATTGGACTAATGTCTTTTTGTTCAAAGTAGTATATTATGACTTTATTGAAAGTATTTATATATGGAGAGAGATTGTAAAAACCTTTTCTATCTATAAATATTATACTAAATGTAATTATTGAAATTTGACCGTCTTTTATTATTGCCACACGTACAAGTTCACTAGTTACTTCTTAAATTTTTCAACATCATTATATAAACTTCTTAAATTTTTGGACCAGGTTTTCTTATCCTAAAACTTTATATTATATTTTTTCATTAAAAATTTTCATTATTTACATTTTTACTTCATAAGGTGTGCGTACATCCAACATTCTCGAAACTTTACTCATAGTGTTAGTGGGTTACCACTACAACAACAAAAAAAATTTAGTGGCAATAAACATGCACATTAACAAAGAGTGCTAAACCTCATTACCGGTATTAGTTAATTGTCATTTGATCGTAATTTTTCATATATTTTTTTAATATTTTTAATTGACAATTGTTATATCTTATAATATATTTTTTTACGTAGTTTTCAAATATATAAATTTAAATTTAAAAAACTTAGAATATTTCATGTCAAAATTCACAATCAAACTAAAATTGTTAACTATCAAAAATTCAAATTATGCCACACGTAGACACGTATTGTAAACAAACATGTAGGGCTCTTATGTTAATTATCATTCCCTATTGAAAAACGTAATGGTCCCTATTGAAAACTTGTTTCAGAAATAA